CTAAAACAGAGTGCAATGTTTCTTTTAGTGGCACGGACACGAGGGATTTTTTTCCCACTCCTTTGCAGATCTTCTCCAAGTCGTTAAGGTTTCGAGGCTGACGTTTGGCAACTCGAACCTTCAGCTCCCTCCACAGATTTCTATGGGATTAAGGTCTGGAGACTGGCTAGGCCACCCCAGGACCTTAATGTGCTTCATCAGCCACTCCTTTGTTGGCCTTGGCCGTGTGTTTTTGGGTCATTGTCATGCTGGAATACCCATCCACGACCCATTTTCAATGCCCTGGCTGAGGGAAGGAGGTTCCACCCAAGATTTGACGGTACATGGCCCCGTCCATCGTCCCTTTGATGCGGTGAAGTTGTCCTGTCCCCTTAGCAGAAAAACACCCCCAAAGCATAATGTTTCCACCTCCATGTTTGACGGTGGGGATGGTGTCCTTGGGGTCATAGGCAGCATTCCTCCTCCTCCAAACACGGCGAGTTGAGTTGATGGCAAAGAGCTCGATTTTGGTCTCATCTGACCACAACACTTTCCCTCAGTTCTCCTCTGAATCATTCAGATGTTCATTGGTAAATTTCAGACGGGCCTGTATATGTGCTTTCTTGAGCAGGGGGACCTTGCGGGCGCTGCAGGATTTCAGTCCTTCACTCACAGCGTAGTGTGTTACCAATTGTTTTCTTGGTGACTATGGTCCCAGCTGCCTTGAGATCATTGACAAGATCCTCCCGTGTAGTTCTGGGCTGATTCCTCACCGTTCTCATGATCATTGCAACTCCACGAGGTGAGATCTTGCATGGAGCCCCAGGCCGAGGGAGATTGACAGTTCTTTTGTGTTTCTTCCATTTGCGAATAATCACACCAACTGTTGTCACCTTCTCACCAAGCTGCTTGGTGATGGTCTTGTAGCCCATTCCAGCCTTGTGTAGGTCTACAATCTTGTCCCTGAAATCCTTGGAGAGCTCTTTGGTCTTGGCCATGGTGGAGAGTTTGGAATCTGATTGATTGATTGCTTCTGTGGACAGGTGTCTTTTATACAGGTAACAAGCTGAGATTAGGAGCACTCCCTTTAAGAGTGTGCTCCTAATCTCAGCTCGTTACCTGTATAAAAGACACCTGGGAGCCAGAAATCTTTCTGATTGAGAGGGGGCAAATGCGTATTTCCTTCATTAAAATGCAAATCAATTTATAACATTTTTGACATGCGTTTTTCAGGATTTTGTTGTTGTTATTCTGTCTCTCACTGTTAAAATAAACCTACCATTAAAATTATAGACTGATCATTTCTTTGTCAGTGGGCAAACATACAAAATCAGCAGGGGATCAAATACTTTTTTCCCTCACTGTAGACTATATTTTGAACAGCACAGATTCAATTAATCCAACACGTCAAGCAAAGCCTGATTCAATCCTGTAGAAGAAAAACAGATGTTTATCCTTTCCTCTAACAGTGCCGATGGACGTTTTGAGGGCTCTGTCACCAAGGCTGTGGTGAAGTACGATGGCACCATCACCTGGACACAGCCCGCTAACTACAAGTCAGCCTGCATCATCGATGTCACCTTCTTCCCCTTTGACCTGCAGAACTGCTCCATGAAGTTTGGCTCCTGGACCTATGATGGCTCACAGGTTGTAGCCTACACAGCATTGTGAAACAGTCTACAGTATATTAATGACCATACAGTCTTTAACTGATGTCAGAAATGCGTGAATCTCTTGTTTATACTTTAGGGAGTTAAAGGGGAGATACGTCTGTTGATGTTTAGTCTTTTCTAACCTTTTATTTACTCAACAGGTTGACATCCTCCTGGAGGACTTCCATGTGGACAAGAGGGACTACTTTGACAATGGTGAATGGGAGATAGTGAAAGCGACAGGTAGCCGTGGTCTGAGGATGGACGGATCCTGCCACTTCCCCTTCATCACCTACTCCTTTATCATCCGTAGACTGCCGCTCTTCTACACCCTGTTCCTCATTATCCCCTGTATCGGCCTTTCTTTCCTCACCATCCTGGTCTTCTACCTTCCCTCCAATGGCGGGGAGAAGATCTCCCTGTGCACCTCTGTGCTGGTGTCCCTCACCGTCTTCCTTCTCGTGATCGAGGAGATCATTCCGTCCTCCTCCAAGGTCATCCCTCTGATCGGGGAGTACCTGGTGTTCACCATGATCTTTGTCACGCTCTCCATCGTCATCACCGTCTTTGCCATCAACATCCACCACCGCTCCTCGTCCACGCACCATGGCATGGCGCCCTGGGTGCGCTGTATCTTCCTGCGCAGGCTGCCCAAGCTGCTGTGTATGCACAGCCATGTGGACCGCTATGCTAACCCTGGCAGGGCCAGGGCAGGACTGGCAGGGAGAGAGTGTGCAGGACTGGCAGGGCGAGAGGGGGCAGTTGGGGGCATTATGAAGGGCTCTTCACCAGAGTCCACCCCTCATCTCTCCTCTAGGAATAACCTGCAGGCTGCTTTGGACTCTATCCGCTACATCACCATGCATGTCGTCAAGGAGAACGAGGTCAGAGAGGTAAGATCCCATAGAGTTACAGAGAATCAATCTGCCCCTGCAGTATAAATGCCAAAGTTGGCATGAGAGAATATTGTGTTTGTTTGTTATGATTTTAACACAATTCAAAATCAATCCTAAAGTACTGAATTTAGGTTTTTGAAGTCTTACTGTAATTCTCTCTATATATTCATCTTCTCCATACTGTATATTTGTCTCCATCCTCTGATTGTCACACGCAACTGCACCTCTGTGTGCAAAGCCCTCCCACCCTGTGTCAACGAGGTCATGTGTTGGAGTCTGAAGGGCATGTTTGGTCTCTCTCTCTCCAGGTGGTGCAGGACTGGAAGTTTGTGGCTCAGGTACTGGACCGTGTGTTCCTGTGGACCTTCCTCCTGGTCTCAGTTCTGGGCTCTGCTCTACTCTTCATTCCTGTCATCTACAAATGGGCCAACATCATCGTCCCCAACCTTGCAGGCAGCAGCGGATAAGACTAAGCTGAGACTAAGTGCACTGAGCACACCAAATTCAGAGACACTACAGTCAGTGCAGAGGCAGAGACACTTACTCACATGTGGGTGTGGGAGACCAGTTATAATTGCAATGGATTCTAGTTCCATCATGATTCTTGATTGATTTGTTTATATGAATGAGGGATTATAGTCTCTATGTTGCTGTATCTGTTGATAGATTAAATTAATATACAATTGTTTTATATTCTGAAAGGAGGATACCTCCCTATAGGCATATCTCACAAAGTAAAGTACATAAATGAATACAATTATCCAGGTTGCTGTCTTTCTTGGTTAAGGATAAAACAGTATTATCCTTTAACTGCAAGAATGCATGTTCAAGTCATCATGTGTCCGTGTTTGACATGACAAATAAAGTTTGACATGCAATCTATATATAAACTAGGCCAATAATTAGCCTCGGAAAAACAGGCTTCTCAAAGTTAACGAGACAGGATTTTGGAAGGCTGGCCACATGAGACTAGCTAATAATTAACAGGTGTTAATAAATAACTTTGAATCCACCCCTTTGTAAATAAGTGTACAATACCCTTTACCATTACCCTTTTATATGACCCCTTTACTTTTTATATTTAAGTCGACATTACCATTATATACACATTACCCTTTTATATTACCCTTTTATATTACCCTTACATTACTCTTTTAAATGTTATTAACTCTGAAAAATAATGGCCAAAACTTAGTTAACTGGGCCCTAGGTTGGTAAATACAAAATAAAATACCAGTTTTTTTAACAGTGGCTACATTCTCAGAAAAGCAGTATTACATAACAAGATCAAGCAAGAGCTTAATTATTATCCGCTTGAATAAGCTTCACTGAAGAATTCAGCTGTGAATCCTCTTGTATGAGCAAAAACTACAACTGTTTGGCTTGTGGGATACAGGTAAGTTAGCAAACAAATCATTGTTACAGTGAATTAATTTACCTACTTTCCAGCTTCTAAAGCTCTTTGCATTACAAAGGTGTCTTGAGATTAGCTTTTAAATCTGTGAGTCTGTTAGAAGCTGGGGGAATTAGTTGGGGACTTAAGTCAGTCCGAGTCCACCTGATACAACAACAAGAGTTGTTCTTTTGCATTCTGTTCAACCTGCCTTCTGATTTCTCCTATCATTCAGATGAAAGATGGCAAGCCACAATGGAAGCATAAACTCATGCCTTCTCATATCTTTATTGGTTGCTTCTTGGAGAATCTGCGATGGTGGTAAAATTCTGGTATTTCCCTTAGAAGGGAGTCACTGGGTGAACATGGACATTCTGATCAAGGCTCTTCACTCTCAGGGACACACCGTCACAGTGGTACGAACAACTAAAAGTTGGTATATTAAAGAAGAGTCTCTTCAATACAGTTCTATTACAATACCTGTCACTGATGGTGTGGAATTTGAGGAATTTGTAAAGCCAATCATAAAGAAAGTAATTGATATAGAGAGAGGAACGAGCTCTGTATTAAACTTTATACATTTGCAAATTGAGATGTTCTCTGCAATGTCTAAGGTTCATGGACTGGAATGTGACTTCGCAACTGCTGTATTGAAAGACAAGGATTTAATGAAGACCCTAAAGGAGAGCCAGTATGACCTGGTGCTTACTGACCCAGCATGGGGGACTGGTATTTTGGTGGCTCACTATCTTCAGCTACCTCTAGTCTACAATGTACGGTGGGTAACCAGTGGAGAGGGACATTTAGCCATTGCGCCATCCCCCATGTCTTATATACCGATGACTGGATCAGGGCTCTCACACTATATGACTTTCACAGAGAGAGTAAAGAATATGCTTTTCTATTTGCTTTGGGAAGTTCAGGACATATTTATAATCCGGCCACATTACCCGGCTGTTTGTGATTAGTTTTTCCAACCAGGTGTGGACTTCTATGAGTTATTACAAGGGGCTGATCTTTGGCTCATGAGAGTTGACTTTGTGTTTGAATTCCCTCGTCCCACCATGCCTAATGTTATCCATATGGGAGGGTTCCAATGTAAACCTGCCAAGCCTCTTCCCCAAGAACTGGAGGGGTTTGCTCAGAGTTCTGGGGAGCATGGAGTCATTATCATGTCTTTGGGGACTTTTGTCACTGAGTTTCCACATGATATAGCTGATGTGATTGCTGCTGCTTTTGCCCAACTGCCTCAGAAGGTCATCTGGAGACACAAAGGAGACAGACCAGCTACTCTGGGCAACAACACATTACTAGTTGACTGGATGCCTCAGAATGATCTGTTAGGACACCCGAAGACAAGGCTGTTTGTAGCTCACGGAGGAACAAATGGGGTTCAAGAGGCTATTTACCATGGAATTCCTGTTGTGGGTCTACCTCTGTTTTCTGATCAATATGACAACCTCCTTCATCTGAAAGAGAGAGGAGGAGCAAAGCTTTTATCTTTGGCAACAGTAGACAAGAACAATAACTTCCTAGAGGCCTTACAGGAAGTTCTGGATGAGCCGCCCTACAGGATGAACATGCAGAGACTCTCCAGGCTACACAGGGACGTGCCAATGGAACCCCTGGACACTGCTCTCTTCTGGATTGAGTTTGTCATGACATTTACATTACATTTTCGTCATTTAGCAGACGCTCTTATCCAGAGCGACTTACAGTTAGTGAGTGCATAGATTTTTTTTTTTTTTTTTTTTTTTTTTTTTTTTTTCATGAGACACAAAGGTGCTGCTCACCTGCGTACAGAGTCCTACAGAATGCCCTGGTACTCCTACCACTCTGTAGATGTTGTCCTGATATTGTTGGCTGTTGTGTCAGTGCTTCTTCTTCTTCTTGTTGCAATAGTCCGATATTTATGCGTTAGAAAATGCTTGAAAATAAAGATTAAAAGTGAATGAGCATATCCAATTCTCCACATTCTGGTGCACACAAATAATAGGATATGTATAAAATAAAGCTGCAATATGTAACTTGTTGGGTGACCCGACAAAATTCACATAGATATGTGAGTTATAGATCTGTCATTCTTATTGAAAGCAAGTCTAAGAAGCAGTAGATCTGTTCTTTGTGCTCTATTTCTATGCTTCCCATGTTTTAAGTTTTGTTTTTGCGTCTTTTACTTTCAGTTTTGTACACCAGCTTCAAACAGCTGAAAATACAATATTTTTGGTTACGGAAAATATATTTCACAGTGGTTTAGATGGTACAATGATTTTCTACACTAAACTTGCTTGTTTTGTCACATAAACTGAGGCAAACTATTACAATTTTAGCAACCAGAAAATGGCAGAGCGATTTCTGCATAGTGCATCTTTAAATCATGAAAATGTATAATGTTGAATTGAAGCCAATATAATAAAATGCTAATGTATAAATTAGTGTGTAATATATTTGTTGTCAAGTTTTTCCAGATGGTTGTGCATTTTGTGATCCAATCCTACACTGAGTGGCGCAGTGGTCTAAGGCACTGCATCGCAGTGCTAACTGTGCCACTAGAGATCCTGGTTCGAATCCAGGCTCTGTTGCAGCCGGCCGCAACCGGGAGACTCATGGGCGGCGCACAATTGGCCCAGCGTTGTCCAGGGTAGGGGAGGGAATGGCCGGCAGGGATGTAGCTCAGTTGATAGAGCATGGTGTTTGCAACGCCAGGGTTGTGGGTTCGATTCCCATGGGGGGCCAGTATAAAGAAAACTATGTATTCACTAAATTTAAGTCGGCTCTGGATAAGAGCGTCTGCTAACCGACTTTGAAATGTAATTTAACCTGTACGTAAGTTTGGTTACCAAGACCAGCATGTTCTGAACATGTTTCTTTACTAAAGGTCAAAACCTCATAAAAACCTCGCCCCACTTTATCATATTTCCCACCTTGTTTGAGAATTGTTTGATTGCAAGAGGTTCTGGGGTTTGCATGTACCACTTGATGATAGCTGAGCTTGAGGCGACAGAACAGAAAGTTACAGTGGGGAAAAAAAAAGTAAACTAACTATTTAGGTCAGTCCACCAATTGTGCAAGTTCTCCACACTAAAAAAGATAAAGAGGCCTGTAATGTCGATCATAGGGACAACGTTAACTATGACAGGACCAACTTGGAGAAAAGAAATCCCGAAAATCACATTGTAGATTTTTTATGATTTGATTTGGCATATTATGGTTGAAATCAGTATGAAAATGATGAAAATTACAGGCTCCTCATCTTTTTAAGTGGGAGAACTTGCACAATTGGTGGCTGACTAGATACTTTTTTCCCCCACTGTACATACTTTGCCAGCATAATGTGATTTGCAGGCCTGATGTGGCTTGTGAGCCAAGAAATTCAGACCACTGTGTTAGGGAGAAACTAGGGCATCAAAGAAAGGCCATATGATATATGTAATGTATTGTCATAAAGGGTTTAATCTTAATTAAACAATAACACTTAGGCACTCACTTCGTGAAGGCTACAGGACTGGAAGTGAATGAACGAATACAACAACCTCTGTCACTAACTAACACAGTCATGGGTGTTAACTCCATCATTCCCTCAAAAGGCACACTGGTAAATATACAAATAAGATTTTACACCCTACAGTGTTAAATATAATAAACTGCTGGAGTAAAAATGTTGTCTGATGGAGTTGATTGTTAACTGCTACAGATTGTTATCTGCTACAGAGTTTATTTTCTTACACATTCAAAACTGTTACTTTAACATCAGTTAAGTTGGACTCATATACATTCTGATATAGTACAATGTACAATCTCAGAGTTTTGCTGTGTACAGCTGAAATGGACAACCTCATAGCCTTAAAATAATAACAATATATGCCATTTAGCAGACACTTTTATCCAAAGTCACTTACAGTCATGCGTGCATAAATTTTTAGTTTATGGGTGACCCCAGCCTTCACAAAAACATATTGTATATGTCAAACATTTACAAGTTGGTGAAAGTCCACAAACACAAGAACATTGTGTTCACTCAGATGAACTCATTGAACTCTCACTCTCATCAAGGGATTTTCTGTTGATGATTACACGTTAACAAGGTAACTAAAGTACACTGAGTGTACAAATATTAGGAACACCTTCCTAATATTAAGTTGCAATTTTGTCCTCAGAACAGTCTCAATTTATCAGGGCATGGACTCTATAAGGTGTCGAAAGCGTTCCGCAGGGATGCTGGCCCATGTTGACTCCAGTAGTTCCCACAGTTGTGTCAAGTTGGCTGGATGTCCTTTGGATGGTGGACCATTCTTGATACAAACTGTTGAGCGTGAAAAACCAAGCTGCAAGATGTAACTTTTTGGGCGACCTGACAAAATTAACATAGATATGTGAGTTATAGATCACACTCAAACCGGTGCACCTTGCACCTACTAACATACCCCGTTCAAAAGCACTTCAATCTTTTGTCTTGCCCATTCACCCTATGAATGGCACACACACACAATCCATGTCTCAATTCTCTCAAGGTTTAAAAATCCTTCTTTGACCTGTCTCCTCCCCTTCATCTACACTGATTTAAGTGGATTTAACAAATTACATCAATAAGGAATCATAGCTTTCACCTCGATTCACCTGGTCAGTCTATGTCAAGGAAAGAGCACGTGTTTCTAATGGTTTGTACACTCAGTGTATAGTCTTTAAGATATCCTATCCCTGGAGGAGAGCCAGTTAGACCAGGTGCTTACTGACCCAGCATGGGGAGCAGGTATTTTGGTGGCTCGCTATCTCCAGCTACCTCTAGTCTACAATGTATGGTGGGTAAACAGTGGAGATGGACAATTAGCCATTGCACCATTCCCCATGTCTTACAGTGCCTTGCAAAAGTATTCATCCCCATTGGCGTTTTTCCTATTTTGTTGCATTACAACCTGTAATTTAAATGGATTTTAATTTGGATTTCATGTGATGGACCTACACAAAATAGTCCAAATTGGTGAAGTGAAATGAAAAAAATTACTTGTTTCAAAAAATTTGAACAAATAAATAACGGAAAAGTGGTGCGTGCATATGTATTCACCCCCTTTGCTATGAAGCCCCTAAATAAGATCTGGTGCAGCCAATTACCTTCAGAAGTCACATAATTAGTTACATAAAGTCCACCTGTGTGCAATCTAAGTGTCACATGATTTGTCACATGATCTCAGTATACAGTTGACGTCGGAAATTCACATAAACCTTAGCCAAATACATTTAAACTCAGTTTATCTCAATTCCTGACATTTAATCCTAGTAAAAATTCCATGTCTTAGGAATTGTCAGAATAATAGTAGAGAGAATGATATATTTCAGCTTTTTATTTCTTTCATCACATTCCCAGTGGGTCAGAAGTTTACTCACACTCAATTAGTATTTGGTAGAATTGCCTTTAAATTGTTAACTTGGGTCAAACGATACGGGTAGCCTTCCACAAGCTTCCCACAATAAGTTGGTTGAATTTTGGCCCATTCCTCCTGACAGACCTGGTGTAACTGAGTCAGGTTTGTAGGCCTCCTTGCTCGCACATGCATTTTCAGTTCTGCCCACACATTTTCTATAGGATTGGCTTTGTGATGGCCACTCCAATACTTTGACTTTGTTGTCCTTAAGCCATTTTGCCACAACTTTGGAAGTATGCTTGGGGTCATTGTCCATTTGGAAGACCCATTTGCGACCAAGCTTTAACTTCCTGACTGATGTCTTGAGATGTTAATTAAATATATCCACATAATTTTCATTCCTCATGATGCCATCTATTTTGTGAAGTGCAGCAAAGCACCGGCACAGCATGATGTTGCCAACCCCGTGCTTCACGGTTGGGATGGTGTTCTTCGAATTGCAAGCCCACCCCTATCTCATCCAAACATAACGATGGTCATTATGGCCAAACAGTTATATTTTTGTTTCATCAGACCAGAGGACAGCTCTCCAAAAAGTACGATCTTTGTCCCCATGTGCAGTTGCAAACCGTAGTCTTGCTTCTTTATGGAGGTTTTGGAGCAGTGGCTTCTTCCTTGCTGAGCGGCCTTTCAGGTTATGTCGATATAGGACTCATTTTACTGTGGATATAGCTACTTTTGTACCTGTTTCCTCCAGCATCTTCACAAGGTCCTTTGCTGTTGTTCTGGGATTGATTTGCACTTTTCGCACCAAAGTACGTTCATCTCTAGGAGACAGAACGGGTCTCCTTCCTGAGCGGTATGACGGCTGCATGGTCCCATGGTGTTTATACTTGCGTACCATTGTTTGTACAGGTGAACATGGTACCTTCAGTTTATACTTGCGTACCATTGTTTGTACAGGTGAACGTGGTACCTTCAGGCATTTGGAAATTGCTCCCAAGGATGAACCAGACTTGTGGAGGTCTACAAATTTGTTTCTGAGGTCTTGGCTAATTTATTTTGTTTTTCCCATGATGTCAAGCAAAGAGGCACTGAGTTTGAAGGTAGGCCTTGCAATACATCCACAGGTACACCTCCAATTGACTCAAATAATGTCAATTAGCCTATCAGAAGCTTCTAAAGCCATTACATCATTTTCTGGAATTGTCCAAGCTGTTTAAAGGCACAGTCAACTTAGTGTATGTAAACTTCTGACCCACTAGAATTGTGATACAGTGAATTATAAGAGAAATAATCTGTCTGTAAACAATTGCTGGAAAAATTACTTGCATCATGCACAAAGTAGATGTCCTAACCGACTTGCCAAAACTATAGTTCGTTAACAAGAAATTTGTGGAGTGGTTGAAAAACGAGTTTTAATGACTCCAACCTAAGTGTATGTAAACTTCTGACATCAACTGTATATACACCTGTTCTGAAAGGCCCCAGAGTGTTCAACACCACTAAGCAAGGGGCACCACCAAGCAAGCGGCACCATGAAGACCAATTAACTCTCCAAACAGGTCAGGGACAAAGTTGTGGAGAAGTACAGATCAGGGTTGGGTTATAAAAAAATATCTGAAACTTTGAACGTCCCACGGAGCACCATTAAATCCATTATTAAAAAATTGAAAGAATATGGCACCACAACAAACCTGCCAAGTGAGGGCCGCCCACCAAAACTCACGGACCAGGCAAGGAGGGCATTAATCAGAGAGGCAACAAAGAGACCAAAGATAACCCTGAAGGAGCTGCAAAGCTCCACGGCGGAGATTGGAGTATCTGTCCATAGGACCACTTTAAGCCGTACACTCCACAGAGCTGGGCTTTACGGAAGAGTGGCCAAAAAAAAGCCATTGCTTACAGAAAAAAATAAGCAAACACGTTTGGTGTTCGCCAAAAGCCATGTGGGAGACTCCCAAAAAATATGGAAGAAGGTACTCTGGTTAGATGAGACTAAAATTGAGCTTTTTGGCCATCAAGGAAAACGCTATGTCTGGCGCAAACCCAACACCTCTCATCACCCCGAGAACACCATCGCCACAGTGAAGCATGGTGGTGGCAGCATCATGCTGTGGGGATAATTTTCATCAGCAGGGACTGGGAAACTGGTCAGAATTGAAGGAATGATGGATGGCGCTAAATACAGGGAAATTCTTGAGGGAAACCTGTTTCAGTCTTCCAGAGATTTGAGATTGGGACGGAGGTTCACCTTCCAGCAGGACAATGACCCTAAGCATACTGCTATAGCAACACTCGAGTGGTTTAAGGGGAAACATTTAAATGTCTTGGAATGGTTTAGTCAAAGCCCAGACCTCAATCCAATTGAGAATCTGTGGTGTGACTTAAATATTGCTGTACACCAGTGGAACCCATCCAACTTGAAGGAGCTGGAGCAGTTTTGCCTTGAAGAATGGGCAAAAATCCCAGTGGCTAGATGTGCCAAGCTTATAGAGACATACCCCAAGAGACTTGCAGCTGTAATTGTTGCAAACGTAGCTCTACCAAGTATTGGGTTTGGGGGGGTGAATAGTTATGCACACAAAAGTTTTCTGTTTTTTTGTCTTATTTCTTGTTTGTTTCACAATGAAACATATTTGCATCTTCAAAGTGGTAGGCATGTTGTGTAAATCAAATTTTAATTCCAGGTTGTAAGGCAACAAAATAGGAAAAATGCCAAGGGGGGTGAATACTTTCGCAAGCCACTGTATATTCCAGTGACTGGATCATGGCTCTCACACAAAATGACCTTCACAGATAGAGTAAAGAATATGCTTTTCCATTTGCTTTGGGAAGCTCAGGACAGATGTTTTATCCAGCCACATTACCAAGATGTTTGTAATGGGTTTTTCCAACCAGGTGTGGACTTCTATGAGTTATTACAGGGGGCTGATCTATGGCTCATGAGAGTTGACTTTGTGTTTGAGTTTCCTCGTCCCACCATGCCTAATGTGATCTATAGAGGGTTTAAATTTATGGGAGTGTGCCAATTGTCCCTATCATGTGGGGTAGAAAAAGCATGAGGTAGTTCTATATAGGCAATTCTGTGAGGGTTTCTTTGACATGTTTGGACCAGAAAATCTTGTTGTTTGACATTGTGAAATGTGTCTGCTATGTTAAACAATAGTTTAATGATTAATATTATACATCCATATTATAATCATGTTCACTCACTGAGTTTTGAGTAACCATCACTGTGACTTTAACAAATGGAAAGGTTCTCATAAAAGCAGTACTTTGACCTTTACTTAACCCTTATAAACCAACATGCCACACAAAAGCCAAAGTAAGCTACACATTTTACATGTGGCCTCCACATACATAATTTGAAGATCAACTGGTAAGTAACATTGCACTGCATCTTACCTCCAGACTGAATAAGCTAATAATAATTACGTTAAGTTAATGTTCATGGGCAAGGATGAAATGTATTGTGAGATATTATTTACATACTGTATCAAATGTGAATCTAAATGAAGAATAAAGTTTCATCTTCATTTTCTCAAACTCTCCAAACCCTAAAGATAATTAATTATGCACCATTGAGAACAGCTTTCATGGTCTTTCATGATTTGTATCAAATTAAATTGCATTTATTGGTCGCATACGCATATTTAGCAGATGTTATCGTGGGTGTAGCGAAATGCTTGTACATAAATGAGAATATATAGTCAGCTAACTGACTATATGTCAAAATCTGTTCAATGTGTCATACAAACTGAATATGATTTCCTATCTCTGTTTGTTTTATATTTCAGATAAATGTTGACATACATTGGAAGCATGACTTTGTGCCTATTGATATTTCTGTTGATTATGTGTGGTTCAGTTTGCCATGGTGGGAAGTTGCTGGTCTTTCCCGGGGAGGGAAGTCACTGGGTTAACATGGACATTCTGATCAAGGCTCTCCACTCTCAGGGACACACCGTCACAGTGGTACGAACAACAAAAAGTTGGTATATCAAAGAAGAGTCGCCCTACTACAGTTCTATTACAATACCTGTCACTGATGCTATGGATGAGGAATTTGTAAAGCCAATCATTAAGAAAGTCATTGATATAGAGAGAGGAACGAGCTCTGTATTAAACTTTATACATTTGCAAATTGAGATGTTCTCTTCAATGTCTAAGGTTCATAAACATGCATGTGACTTGGCAACTGCTGTATTGAAAGACAAGGATTTAATAAAGACCCTAAAGGAGAGCCAGTATGACCTGGTGCTTACTGACCCAGCATGGGGAGCCGGTATTTTGGTGGCTCACTATCTTCAGCTACCTCTAGTCTACAATGTACGGTGGGTAATCAGTGGAGAGGGACATTTAACTATTGCACCATCACCAATGTCGTACATTCCAATGACTTTATCAGGACATTCAGACAAAATGACTTTCACAGAGAGAGTAAAGAATATGCTTTTCTATTTGCTATTTACTGTTCAGGATAGATTGACTCTCCGGCCACATTACCAGGCTGTTTGTGATGAGTTTTTCCAACCAGGTGTGGACTTCTATGAGTTATTACAGGGGGCTGATCTTTGGCTCATGAGAGTTGACTTTGTGTTTGAATTCCCTCGTCCCACCATGCCTAATGTTATCTATATGGGAGGGTTCCAATGTAAACCTGCCAAGCCTCTTCCCCAAGAACTGGAGGAGTTTGTTCAGAGTTCTGGGGAGCATGGAGTCATTATCATGTCTTTGGGGACTTTTGTCACTGAGTTTCCACATGATATAGCTGATGTGATTGCTGCTGCTTTTGCCCAACTGCCTCAGAAGGTCATCTGGAGACACAAAGGAGACAGGCCAGCTACTCTGGGCAACAACACATTACTAGTTGACTGGATGCCTCAGAATGATCTGTTAGGACACCCGAAGACAAGGCTGTTTGTAGCTCACGGAGGAACAAATGGGGTTCAAGAGGCTATTTACCATGGAATTCCTGTTGTGGGTCTACCTCTGTTTTTTGATCAATATGACAACCTCCTTCGTCTGAAAGAGAGAGGAGGAGCAAAGCTTTTATCTATGGCAACAGTAGACAAGAACAATAACTTCCTAGAGGCCTTACAGGAAGTTCTGGATGAGCCGTCCTACAGGATGAACATGCAGAGACTCTCCAGGCTACACAGGGACGTGCCAATGGAGCCCCTGGACACTGCTCTCTTCTGGATTGAGTTTGTCATGAGACACAAGGTGCTGCTCACCTGCGTACAGAGTCCTACAGAATGCCCTGGTACTCCTACCACTCTGTGGATGTTGTCCTGATATTGTTGGCTGTTGTGTCAGTGCTTCTTCTTCTTCTTGTTGCAATAGTCAGATATTTCTGCATTAGAACATGCTTGAAAAGAAAGATTAAAAGTGAATGATCCAAATATCCACATTCTGGTGCAAATAGAATAATTACAATCGTGAAAATGTATGATGTTGAATTGATGCCATCATAATAAAATGTGAATGTATAATTTAGTTTGGAATATATTTGTCGTCAAGTATTTCATGATGGCTGTGCATTTTGTGATTCAATCCACTGAAATTAAAAACCTCATTGCATGACATAATAATAATATATGCTATTAAGTCCATATACACTACCGTTCAGAAGTTTGGGGTCACTTAGAAATGTCCTTGTTTTCGAAAGAAAAGCAATTTTTTGTCCATCAAAATAACATCAAATTGATCAGAAATACAGTGTAGACATTGTTAATGTTGTAAATGGCTATTGTAGCTGGAAATGGCTGGAATATCTACATAGGCGTACAGAGGCCCATTATCAGCAACCATCAGTCCTGTGTTCCAATGGCACGTTGTGTTTGCTATTCCAAGTTTATCATTTTAAAAGGCTAACTGATCATTAGAAAACCCTTTTGCAATTATGTTAGCACAGCTGAAAACTGTTGCGCTGATTAAAGAAGCAATACAACTGGCCTTCTTGAGACTAGTTGAGTATCTGGCGCATCAGCAATTGTGGGTTCGATTACAGGCTCAAAATGGCCAGAAACAAATAACTTTCTTCTGAAACTTGTCAGTCTATTCTTGTTCTGAGAAATGAAGGCTATTCCATGCGAGAAATTGCCAAGAACTGCAAACTGGCTCTAACCAGAATAGAAAGAGGAGTGGGAGGCACAACTGAGCAAGAGGACAAATACATTAGAGTGTCTAGTTTGAGAAACAGGCTGCCCATCTTAATATTTTATTTTAATTGGCCAGTCTGAGATATGGCTCTTTCTTTGCAACTCTGCCTAGAAGGTCAGCATCCCGGAGTCGCCTCTTCACGATTGACGTTGAGACTGGTGTTTTGCGGGATACTATTTAATGAAGCTGCCACAAAAAGGGAGTAATGTAGAGATCTACGGGTCTTTAGCGACGTTCAGCCAACCTTTTGATACAGGATACAGTGATGAGTATCAAAACTGTCACCTGTAAGAAAACAAAGCGTACTATGGTAGATGGCATCCAAAGGTTTAAGAGTAGTAGCAGCTACACTTTGATAAATACTATCACCATAATCAAGAACAGATAAAAAGGTTGACTGAATAATCTGCTTCCTACTGCTTAGAGAAAGGCACAATCTGTTTCTGTAGAAAAAGCCAACCTTTAATCTTAGCTTCTTAACCAGCTCATCTATATGTTTTTTAAATGTCAAATCCATATAAATCCAAATGCCTAAGTATTTATATGCGGGAACACGTTAGATTGGAGAATGAGTGAACATGTAGTTCATCTGAAACATTCTTACGAGAGTTTAAAAACAACACGTAGGTGAAAGTCCACAAGCACAGGAACATTGCGTTCACTCAGATGAACTCATTGAATTCTCACTCTCGTTGAGGGATTTTCTGTTCAAGGTTACAATATCTGTCAAATAATGGAGTACGATGGGTTCATTTATGTGTTTAAACAGAAACAACGTGAATGTTAACAAGGACACTCTAAAGTATTGTCTTTAAGATATCCTATCCATACAGGAGAGCCAGTATGACCTGGTGTTTACTGACCCAGCATTTTGCTGTTTACTGTTCAGGACAAGTTGACTCTCCGGCCACATTACCAGGCTGTTTGTAATGAGTTTTTCCAACCAGGTGTGGAAATGATGCAGACAATTACAGTGAGGGAAAAAAGTATTTGATCCCCTGCTGATTTTGTATGTTTGCCCACTGACAAAGAAATTATCAGTCTATAATTTTAATGGTAGGTTTATTTGAACAGTGAGAGACAGAATAACAACAAAACAATCCAGAAAACGCAAGTCAAAAATGTTATAAATTGATTTACATTTTAATGAGGGAAATAAGTATTTGACCCCTCTGCAAAACATGACATAGTACTTGGTGGCAAAACCCTTGTTGTGGTCCTCTGTAGCTCAACTGGTAGAGCATGGTGCTTGTAACGCCAAGGTAGTGGGTTCGATCCCCGGGACCGCCCATACACAAAAATGTATGCACGCATGACTGTAAGTCGCTTTGGATAAAAGCGTCTGCTAAATGGCATATTTATTTATTGTTGGCAATCACAGAGGTCAGATGTTTCTTGTAGTTGGCCACCAGGTTTGCACACATCTAAGGAGGGATTTTGTTCCACTCCTCTTTGCAGATCTTCTCCAAGTCATTAAGGTTTCGAGGCTGACATTTGGCAACTCGAACCTTCAGCTCCCTCCACAGATTTTCTATGGGAATAAGGTCTGGAGACTGGCTAGGCCACTCCAGGACCTTAATGTGCCTCTTCTTGAGCCACTCCTTTGTTGCTTTGGCCGTGTGTTTTAGGTAATTGTCATGCTGGAATACCCGTCAACGACCCATTTTCAATGCCCTGGCTGAGGGAAGGAGGTTCTCACCCAAGATTGGCCCCGTCCATCGTCCCTTTGATGCGGTGAAGTTGTCCTGTCCCCTTAGCAGAAAAACACCCCCAAAGCATAATGTTTCCACCTCCATGTTTGACGGTGGGGATGGTGTTCTTGGGGTCATAGGCATCATTCCTCCTCCTCCAAACACGGCGAGTTGAGTTGATGCCAAAGAGTTCGATTTTGGTCTCATCTGACCACAACACTTTCACCCAGTTCTCCTCTGAATCATTCAGATGTTCATTGGCAAACTTCAGACGGCCCTGTATATGTGCTTTCTTGAGCAGGGGTACCTTGCGGGCACTGCAGGATTTCAGTCCTTCACGGCGTAGTGTGTTACCAATTGTTTTCTTGGTGACTATGGTCCCAGCTGCCTTGAGATCATTGACAAGATCCTCCCGTGTAGTTCTCGGCTGATTCCTCACCGCTCTCATGATCATTGCAACTCCACGAGGTGAGATCTTGCATGGAGCCCCAGGCCGAGGGAGATTGACAGGTCTTTTGTGTTTCTTCCATTTGCGAATAATCGCACCAAATGTTGTCACCTTCTCACCAAGCTGCTTGGCGATGGTCTTGTAGCCCATTCCAGCCTTGTGTAGGTTTACAATCTTGTCCCTGACATCCTTGGAGAGCTCTTTGGTCTTGGCCATGGTGGAGAGTTTGGAATCTGATTGATTGATTGCTTCTATGGACAGGTGTCTTTTATACAGGTAACAAGCTGAGATTAGAAGCACTCCCTTTAAGTGTGTGCTCCTAATCTCAGCTCATTACCTGTATAAAAGACACCTGGGAGCCAGAAATCTTTCTGATTGAGAGGGGGTCAAATACTTATTTCCCTCATTAAAATGCAAATCAATTTATAACATTTTTGACATGCGTTTTTCTGGATTTTTTTGTTGTTATTCTGTCTCTCACTGTTCAAATAAACCTACCATTAAAAGTATAGACTGATCATTTCTTTGTCAGTGGGCAAACGTACAAAATCAGCAGGGGATCAAATACTTTTTTCCCTCACTGTACATTGATGGAAGCCACAATCTATCTGCAATATCAAAGCTAATATACCCCCTAAAAAAATAAAAAATAAAAAAGATGTATAATATTGTGTACCCCCACCTTCTAAAACCAAAGTTGCCCCCAGTGTTGATCCAGATTCAAATTTCCTGAGATTTACCAGAGATGAGTATATCACTTGTGATTATTATAATGTTAAGCAATTTAACAACCTGTATAGCAGTTCATCTAAGTCCAAGACAAGCTTATTTGCTATCTTTCATTTGAACGTTCAGTCTTCCTAAAAATCATAACCACCTTGTTCATTATCTGTCTTCTCTCAGTCATGAATTTTCCAATGTTGCCCTTTCAGAAACATGGTTGACTGAAGGGACAACCATGCTTTATGACATGTCTCCTCATAATGCTGTTCACAACTGTAGAACCTCAAGAGTGGGAGGAGGAGCATCCATTTTTGTTCATAAATGTTTTCAATTCTTTGTAGGAGAGGACCTCGCACTTACATCTGATAATATTGATGTTGAATCTCTTTTCATAGAAAATCCCTCCTGTTCATTTTTTTGGTGGTAAAAAAGTGGTAATTGTATGCATCTATCAGCCACCCAATTCTGACATTAGTAGTTTTATTGATATCCTTGCATCAACCTTGGATTTGATTAGTAATGAAGATTTTCTATTGGGTGTGTGATGGAAATGTTAATGTGGGTGCTTTCCTATTCTATACATTTCTATATTCTATTCATGTGCTGTTCTAATAACCAATTTCTGTGTTCATGCAAGTGACTGATCGGACGAATCCTCACTTATCAGTATCTGCAATTTGGCAGTACTCCCAGACCTTGTTTTGAGAACGTGAGGAGAAAGATATCTCAGTTTCAAGGTCTCAGATTAGAGAGAAGAAGCCTTGTGAGGTATTGGTCTATCACATGGATGAAACAAAACGGTAATGATTAATTAATTATGCTAAATCATGCAAATATAACTTGTCTGTGTATAGCCGTATATAAGACAACTGCTGGGACAGCCCCAGGGTAGCTTCTGACAGACATGTGTACTATGGTGCATTGAGTTAGTTGGAACCTCTCCAGCGCACTGACAAATAAACTATGATTCATTTAAGATTGACTTCGAGTGTCCCTGTGTAAGAATTTCCACAACAGGTGTTTACAACATAAACTTATTTAAAAGTAAGAACCACTCACTGACACCTGACTTTTTGAATACTTTATACTCCAGCTATCTGTATCCTCTCATCTATAAGCCCACAAGAATGACCAGTTCATCTGCCACCCTTATTGATAATATGGCTAATACAGGTATACTTTATATGGACATTTCTGACCACTTTCCAATTTTCCACTTCTCTTTGGCAGCTGGAAATGAACAGATTTGAATGATTAGTAGCATTAAGGGTAGAATATTTAACAAAAGTAATTGTGAGCGCTTTAAGATGTTTATTGATGATATTTAATGGGGAAATGTTTATAATCAGGCTGTTGTGGAATCTGCTTACCAGACTTTTC